ACCCAAAAAGCCTCTTTCCCATTAGGGGCCTTGTTTAAAACACATTCATTTTCATCATGCTTATGTTGGTTTTCTCTGTAAAAAGCAAAAAAAAAAAAAGAACGAAATAAAACCAAGCTAAACGGCAAGATGGTTTCTCAAACATATGCTAAAATCTTAGATTGACATGACACTTTTTTTAGCCTGATACACTGACAAAACTGACAATTGTTGTGTGACCTGCAACCACTGGTTGGAGCTGTTGTACGACTGAAGATATTGGTGAATGACATGGTTGTCACAGCAAAGGACAAGTGACGTGGACGGACCTAGAACTCACAGAAGTCACAGCAGAACTCGACTGAAATCTTTTTTTTTTTTTTACCTTGTTAATTCTAAACTGGGCGTCAACTGTAGCCTCCAACTCAAACTGTTTGTCCCAGTTTCCTTTGAAGTAGATGGCGTTGATCAGAACCAGCACGGTGGAGCTGTCCAGCACGCCTGAAGCCAGCAGCTCTGTGATTTTACCTGGTGACATGGTGAGTGGAAACCCTCATTAATGATACTCATCATTTCATGATTACTTCATAACAAGCGTTTTTACCAAGGGTGAGACACATTGTCATGTAATATTCTAGTCATTGGTAAATTCACACATGTCCAAATGTCATGAAACCGACCTTGAGTTTTTGTATCCACCCAGTTGTTGATGTTAACCCTGGCCTCTTCTACACTTGTTTTGAAGTCCACACTCTCCAGGCTGGCACTGTAGTGCTTTTTAGTCTCCGCTAAAAAATCCTTAAATCACAAAATTATAAACCTGAAGTACTCACAGCTTAGCTGATGTATTCTGACAGACAGCACTTTTGAATGCAGCTCAATTGAACGGTTGAACGTGAGAAGACGAGAAGACGGTGCCTTACTATGACACCACAGCGTTCAGATGTTGCCCTTCTGACCTCACCTCCATAAAGTCGTAGGTCTGCTCTCCGTACAATCTGTTGGCGACGCTGAGCGAATAAGGAGCATCTGCCTTGTAGAGTTCGCTGAGCAGCTTGCTGAAGTCGGCGTGGACGCTGTCCTGACCGTTCTGAGGTTTCAGGCACTGTGAACAGCCGGAAAAGACCTGTACGTTACATTGACACACTGAGCCAGTGGCCAGTTGAAGACAACCGTAAGTGTGTACAGACGTACAAAAAACACAGTAACAGACATATATTCCTGGTACTCCATTAATGAATGACCTGGGGTTTTTCTAAGGTTTTTTCTTTTAAATTTGCTTTTGTTCCTAAATGTATTAAAACAAGGCTTGTAGGATATTAATCCAACACCTTTGGTTGCACTATAAACAGTATGTAGCTGAATTCAGAATTTGTCATGGTTTGTTTTTGTTGTCATACAATAAGTGTGTTAGGTATCTTTACTTTGTTTATTTGAGATCTGTGAACTTTTATTTTGAAAATGCCACTTTTATTTTGTAATCTCTATTTCCGTTGTTTTCCGGTTTGAAAATGCCACTTTTATTTTGTAATTTCTATTTCCGTTGTTTTCCGGAGAGCAAGAAAATAGAGATTACAATGAAATTAAGGCAGTGAACCAAAGAGCCAATTTAAGTGTTTGCCATTTGGTAAGTGAAGAAACTGAAGACGAGAGATGAGCCTTCGTTTCACTTTGACACGTTTCGCTTTATGTTTCGTTAACTTTGCCGATGTTATCTTTAATATTTAATGTGTTCTCACTCAAAAACAAACAAAAGTGTCCAGAAGGCCACTCGAGGGCGCTAGAAACCATTTCCGAAAAACGTAAATAAACACTTACTCCCTTTTGCTTTAAAACAAATATCATCCTCAGATTTAGGGCAATAAAAAAAAAATCATTGTGCGTTTTACTAATGAGTTGCAGATACACAAATCTGCTTAGCTTGCTCTTTCCAGCATCAGTTTCACTGTGACAGGGTTGCGCAACATCACCCAGTGCAGTTAAAAACCAAATTACATTTGGAACCAGCTGCTGGATTAATTTTGCTATGAACACGACATGATCGTATTAACACCTGTAGCAGGTACTGCGGCAGTCTGCTTCGAGGCATCTGTGTCTGCATCTGCATACGCATCTGAAGCTGCGACTGCATTGGAGATGACTTGGCACATTGCTGCAGGTCCTCCGACTTCAGTGGCCGCTGTCTCTCCGTAAAGCAGAGAACCTGTAGGTACAAGAATGGCTCCACGTCAGGGTCTGAGTCACATATTCAGTCTTTGCGTCTGGACAGCAGAGAGTATTAGATCTTTTAAGTAAAGCCCATTCAAATCTCTCCGCAATCTCAGGGCAAAATCAGACACACGAGCCCAGGCAGGTTTGTGCCAGGCAGTTGCTCTCCAGCTGGGTTATTTTCTACATGTTCTGAATCAGTTAAAAGGTACATTCCATAAACATTTAGTCAGGTACTTGCCATCCACGCCTATCTTAAAACACACCACCACTCCCAGTCTGGTTGCAAGAAAATTATTCAGTGACAATTAAGGAATAAAAGCACATTTTAACTTTTTATAATTTGTGAAAATTCACAGGTCAAAATGAACCCTTTGCACACTGAATAACACAGGTTTTAGACTTTTCATTATTTTTACACTATTTTAGTTTTTTAGAAAAAATGCTGATGCCGTCTAAAAAATACCATGTTACTAATTTGACCAGATGCTCCACTACTTCTTCTTGCCTACTGAAATCTCCTAATTTCTACCATCACCTACCCAGGGTATTAATATATATTTATCCAGCATTGATCTTCTTTTGGCTTTTGATTCATACCTTTTACAGACAGACAAGTGCAGCATGAAACACAAGCTCCTTGGCAGTGTCCGCTGTAAGACAAGGCCACAAACCACTCTTTCGTTATTGCACGCCCACTAAGTGAACAAGACAGAGCACGAAGCATCCACTCACACCCTGCTCTGTTACTCTTGTTGCCAGGCGTCACTAAACTCAACACTTGAGGAACTAACTGCCTAGTAAGTGTAGTACTAGTAAGTGTAGTACTAGTACTGTAATCTTAAAAGACCACCGTGATGTCCTTGTGTGCGTGTGCGTGCTGTACCTCGGACATCTGTGTGTGCGTGTTGCCTCTGGCGCCCAGCATCACCATGGCCAGAGCTGAGGAGATGCTGAAGGAGGAGAAGAAGACATTGGCCGTCTTGTCGTTGTCGCTCAGCTGTTTAAGAAGATCTAGAGAGAAGTTGGTGTTGGCCTTAGTGACAGGGACGGTTGATGCCATTGTGCCTGATATCCAGAAAAACAAACAAACAAACATAATCGACGTAAGAAACAGTGTGTAGTCTCAAACGTGTTATGATCCCTCGTGTCATACCACTGCAGAACTCTAGGGGTCCTGAAACTTAATTATAACTTAATATATTAAGTCAAAGTTCTGACATATTCAGGAAGTTTAACATTTTATTTCAGCAATTTTTAATCACCAGTGCAGACCAGAGACCAATACCAAAGATACAAGAATTACAACACGTCCGGCAACCACTTTGACAAAATCGTGTTCTTACTTACTAGCAGTCCTTCGGAAAACCAAATGATCTGTGTCAGCTTCTGTACCTACGGAGGAAAGTGTCGTGCTCAAGTCAACTGTTAAATATTTTGCAGACTGACACTCCCAAAGTCAAGTCGGTGGCTGCAGCAGGGGAATATGCTGAGATATCACACCCATGACTGAAAAGGCACACCCATGCTTATAATTGTTTGGGTACACGCTTTGTGCCAAAAAAGATTCGTAAGATTTACATGTCCCTGGAAAAATACAACACAGAGGCAATATTTATTATCTACAGGAACCTTTGTTTTTCTATGTGGATATCTATGCTGGAAATCAAGTCTTTTGTTCGTTGAGTTTATCCTAGCTGAGTTTTGTTTTTCTTCTTCAAGTCCTTTCAGAATGGGTAAAATGGTGTTTTCCTTCGGCCATAAGTTAGGTTTAAAACCAGTTTAATCACTGAGGTCACATTCCAGTGATAAATGTTTGAAATACCCTTTGTTAAATGATTTGTATTCAATGCAGGTATTTTTTATTATCTGCATTTTTATGATGTGGTTGATCGTTTTTGTATATATTTTGTATATATATTTTGTAATATTGTGTTTGTGTGAAGGTGTTTATCTGAAACCTGAATCAGATTGTTGCTCTCTGAGCAGTGTTCTTCGTTTAAATCATTCATTCATTAGTTTACTTATACTTTACTTTTGTACTTACTTCATTTTTGTGCTATTTTACCAAAGGTACAGGGAAAAAGTTTTTATAGACGTAATAGAGAATGGATAGATACATATAAACGTCGTAAAAAAATGTTTCATTCAGGTCTTGAACAATTGGCTGTCAACGCTGCACCGTTGCTGCAAATTTTCCAAGCAATTTAGAAAAAACACATCTTTCCAATTATTATAATAGTAAGTAAACGCACCACTAGAAAGACACAGCATTTTCATGTTATGTGTTGACGGCGCCCTCATCTGGCCGTCTCTAGGCGCAGCTGTGCCACCGTGGTGTGAATTAAAGCAGAGTAATAACATGGACAGGACTGAGTAATGAGAGAGTGCTGAGTGAATAAGCAGCGTCGGTGTTATTGTTCTGAGAGACTTGGCTCTAACTTTGGAATTTGAAGGACAGGATATCGACCTTTTACGGTAAGCACAATTTGTTGTAGTTTTTCGTCGTTTTAGCTTTTGGGCTGCTAGCATGGTAGCTAACGTGGACGTAACGCGATAGCCTGTAGGACGGGGTCTTTCAGGACACGCCAAAAGTCATGCAAAATATGTATGGGCTTGTGTTTTAGAATTTAAAATTGTACACAATAATCTGAGCAAGGCATAAACTCCAACAACAAGCTGTCAATATTTGCTTTTCAATTCGGCATTGATATAATTAGCCTAATGTACCTCAACGTTTCTAGTCGCTAAGGTTGTGAGGGTTTTATTTTTAAGCAAATAAAACCGGCGTTTTCTTTAATATTGTTTAGGATACAATTCAATTCTCAGTCCGTCTTTGTTTCCGGTTCAAATTTATATTACGCACTACAAGTTTTGACACCAGCTTGAGCCACAACAGAAGCTTCTGTCATGTTTCAGCTGTTGTAACCGTTTGACCCTGAACTAAAAACAGAGCCCTTATCACAGCACTTCCATTGCGTCGATTTTTGTGAATGAATATTGAGTTTTTGTTTTGTGAACACGCGAAGTCATTTAGTTTTCCGACTAATTTCGCGTGTCAGTCACTCGACGGGGCCCATTAGTATTTCAGCGTTCTGTTTTGTTGGCTCTGGTCCTGAGTCACTCTCTCAGTCATGTGGCTCTCGAGCAGCACAAACACTTCACACTGATGTGTCATCACTCTGTGTTTACATCGTGTCGGTGTTTCACTCCTGTGTTTTGTTGTCATTTTCACTTCAGGCCACATTTTATAGGCTATAAGACAACTTATTTATTTTATTTTTATTTTTATTTAAGTTGTACTATAGGGTTTTGGTAAATAGTAAACACCTAAAAGATAAATATTTGGTGGCAAAAATAACATTTATTTTCATCATTTTAGATTATACAATTTAACTGTTTAACACAGTGGTCTCAAACTCCCGGCCCCATTTTCTGTACCTTGTCTGTGATGATAGATGTCATTAGAAATGTGCCCCTTTTTTTCATAGGTGTATAATACACCTTGTCTGTGATGATAGATGTCATTAAAAATGTGCCCCTTGATTTTTTTTTCATCATTTTTTATATTGCTTATGCTTTAGGTTTATAATATCATATTTATATTTAACAAAAACTTAAGCTAACAGCCTTAGCCAAAAAAAAAGGACTCTTCACAGACATACGTGGAAAAATGCTAACCCTAATAAAATATGTTCTGCGCTGTTTCTTTTCTTAGACGTTTGTGGGCTTTTCATCATGTCAGTTTTTACACATAGAGCACAAACGCTTAAATTATGAATGTCATGTGGCTAATGTCAATAATTCATTAGCCGACAGCCTGGTGGCCTTGTTTCAGGTTAATGTTTGCTCAGTGGATTCAGCTCTTTATGTACTCTGACGAAAAATTCCGCAAATGCACTTATTGCACCGCACACAGAACAGGTGTCCTAACTAAAGGTTAATGACAGTTAAAACTGTATTGTTGTCTTTTACAGGATGTGCAGAGTCCCTGTCAGTCTCTCAGGGAAGGCATTACTGCTTCACTCTGTCGTCACTTATCACCTCAGACGTCTCGGTGGTTAACCCTAACGTGCTGACGTCCAGAGGATGGCATCACCCTTTGTGCCTGTTCCCGTGCCCATGGACCGAGCCTTATCAGTAGGTGGCAGCAAGTTGAGGCGACCGCACCGGGCTTCCTCTCTTGGCAGCGTCTCCAGCAGCTCCGAGGACCAGGGAAGAGGATGCGGCTCCCAACGCCAATCCCGCGGCGTGGACAGAGGCAGCCGCAGCCGGACGCCGCCGCCCCTTCAGAGTCCTGTGACGCGGGGCAGGGTCAACGGGACTCTGGAGCCCACCATGGAATATTCCAGCTGCCCTCGCTCTGTATCGGATCCTTCTGGGAGTCAGCAATGCGACGAGCGACCCATCACCCCGACTGTCCTGGGATATGAAGTGATGGAAGAAAGAGCCAAATTCACGGTATGGTTCCAGTGGTGGCTAACAGTTCAAATGTGATTCTACATGAAGACGGACCATTCTACAGAATATATTACAGCTTTTGTTTTCTATAGAGGAATAACTTCTTTAAACTTTAGACATTATATTGTTACATTTTATATATATATAAATGTATATGTATATATATATATATATATATATTAACATATCATTATATTTGGAAGCAACCCCTCATTCTGGATTCTTTTTCCCTGGTACAGGTGTACAAGGTCCTGGTGAGGAAGACTCCAGATGAGAGCTGGGTTGTCTTTAGGAGGTACACAGACTTCTCTCGACTCAACGACAAGGTGGGTTTAAATATGCACTCCCGAAATATGAACTACGTTTGGCCTAAAGATAATTGTTTCTTTTGTTTGGTTTAATTTTATTCCAACAACATCATATTGGAATCCATTCATTGCACCGTTCGGCGTACCAGATTCGGCGCCCTGGCCACCAGTTGATCACTGATCTAAAGTGACTACCTACTGTAAACCAATCCATTCGTGCTTTCAGAGTTTCAGCATTTTTTTTTTCATACTAGGACAAAATATTCTGTGGGAAAATGTAACACAAAGGGGTTAGAACAAGTGTAACCTAGACACACGCAGTAACCTAAGGCACGAAGACAAAACGGGAACACCCTTTCCGGTGTTGGCTGCAGTCAGAGAGGTCAGAGAGATGGGGTGTGAACATCCTTCATTTCATTCCTGTGGCTTTTTCCTGTGTATTCCATTTCTGCTGAGTATCTTTTCTTGCACTCTGGAAGTGAAGCTGTGGCGATCATGTGCACAGCGTTTGTAAAGATTTGAAAGAGTTTCAGGTTTGGCTGGCTGGCGCTCGTCAGCATGAGCACCTGCGTGTTATTATCATGTTTGGGGGGGGGGGGGGGAGGGAAGGAAGAAAGAGAGTTATGTTACACGCCAGTCGAGATGAGCCAAACACGCACATGTAATAGAGTTTAATGACCACACGGACGCGTGGTCCACGCATTATCAGCGTGTTATGCAGCGCTGCCGTCACGCTGTGCCGCTGGCACCAGATGTACCTTTGGATCTCACCCAGTTTTTCTCTGAAAGGGAAAGCAAGCTGTTGTGCAAACACGCTACGCCAACACTCCTCCTGGGCAAACTGACATCCAGGTCATTTTCACTTCATCTCTACAAGTTGAACTGCTTTTTAACTGACATATGCAGTATCTGTTGTGAGCAGTAGGTTCATCAAAAAGTACTTTTGTTAACAAAAATAATTAACAGCACCTTTTTAAAAAACAGCATGCTCTGAAATTAAACACCGAAAATTTCATAAACACATTTTGAACCGTTAAGCCGTTTCTTAATGTGAGCTCAGGAATTCTTTATAAAAAGATTTAATCTTTAGTTGCTAATCCAGAACAGAAGTTAGGGTCATTTTGTTGCAGCATAATGGTGCAGTGAGTAATGCTTTTGTGATTTTTTTTTTTTTAAAAAGCAAAACATCCAAGCAAACTTCTCAGACTTTGTGATTTATATCAACTCTTCAAAAATAATAATAATAATAATATATATATATATATTAAAATTATATTGCACATGCATAAAATGTTTGCCTAACTTTGGTGTGGTTTGCAAATGTATTTTCTTAATTTTTTTTCAAGTATTATTCTTAATTTAATTAATGTAACAAGACAGCACAGGATAAAAAAGGATAATAAAAAAAAATACAGAAAAGTAGGAAGAGAAAGATTAGGAAAAAAATCTTTTCTCAAAGAAGTTTTGTTATGATAAAGGTTAAATTTCTTCCTTTTTTCCCTTACAGCATACTCCATGTTTAAATCACTTCAGACTAGGGTAACGTTTTTATAAAACTCGGTGCAGTGCCACGTATAAACCTACAACATTTTTGCATATATATACTCCATATATTATTCTTTATTACAAACCATAAAAATTCGACAATTGCAGTTCCTCTACCGAGCCCCTAGAGGTCGTAGAGACCCCATGTTGAAAACTGTCTACTTTGGACATACTCAAGTCCAACTGGAACCTGCAGATGGTGCTGTTGATCATAATATAAATTGGACAGGGCCAACTGTGGGGATTTTGATTTGGATATCAGTTCATATAGAAGTACAGTGTGTGGGATGATGGATATGGAGGCTGAAAGGGAACCTTGTGTTTGTCTGTGCAGCTGAAGGAGATGTTCCCAGGCTTCCGTCTCTCGCTGCCCCCCAAACGATGGTTCAAAGACAACTACGACAGTGACTTCCTGGAGGACAGACAGCTAGGACTGCAGGCCTTCTTGCAAAACCTGGTCGCCCATAAAGACATTTCCAACAGGTACAGAATGCAGTTGTTTAAGGGAGTCCTAGTTGCCGGGGAGGTACAGAATGCAGTTGTTTAAGGGAGTCGAAGTCGCCAGGGCGGCGGGGGGACGGAACTGTAAAAATGTTATGGAAGTCTCAACAACGCAAAAGTACTGCAGATGGAAAGAGGAGATACAATGTTATGGAAGTCTCAACAACGCAAAGGTACTGCAGATGGAAAGATACACTGTAAACACATTTTATAGGGCAGTCTCGTGAAACCATGCGGTAAGACCCACATAAAACGATAACCAGCCATGACTGATGTCCTCACTAACTGTGGTAGAAATCCCGTCAGCATGCAGCAAGCCCTGGGCTCATATTTATCTTGTCCCCAACTTCCAACCCTTGTACGGCAGCTGGTGTAAAACTACTGCTGACAAAAGGAAAAGTCGAAAGTGATTCTTCACTACGCTGTAAAACTACAGTCAGCAGCTATATAACACTCTCTGGAGTGCCCTTCTGTATTTCAGATCATTGTAGAGAGACTTTACGTAGGCGCATTGGAAGCTATTGCGTAATTATGCGAAACTTCTATTCCTGTTGAACAAAAAAAAAAAAAATCAAAATTACAAATCAGTGTAATTTACTCACTATATTTACCTTCAGTTGCAGTTCTACTGGAATTAAAAAAAACCTTGAGATTTAAAAAGTGATCTGGAAAAAATACAACTCTTATTCATTTACAGTAAATCATTTGTCTTTGTGACAGTGACAGACAGTTAAATACTCTTCCACCAGGTGGCAGCAGGTGACTACTAAAAAACAAAAAAAAGGCAACTCGGCTCATTAAATAGATCTTGTTTTTTTTTTTAATTCTTTTTTAATTCACTGTTGTGTTCAACTAAACAGGCCCAGATGTCACACTAAGTAAACCGTGCGTCATTCAAAAGTAGTAGATAATAAAAGTTCGTTACATATTCTTTGTGACATTTGTTTTTCACTGTTGTGAAAAAAAAAAAAAAAAGAAAAAAGTAAAAAAAAAAAAAAAGTGCCGTGGTTCCAATTTATTACAGAAGGATCAGCTCTTGTTCCAGCACTGTGTTTGAAAGTGATTTGCACAGTGTGGGGGAAAAAACCCAGACAACCTGTTGATTCATTATAAAACTGTTGTTTGACAAATGGGCTGAGTCCATGCAGCTATAAAAGCTGTAAAGGATGCACTGTCACATCATTTTCTATTTTTTTTTCCCCCCTTTTTTTTTGCAGCCAGGCAGTCAGAGAGTTTCTATGCCTGGATGACCCACCTGGGCCTTTTGATAGTTTGGAGGAGAGTCGGGTGAGTGCCTTTATATTGCAGTGAACATTTCCACATCCCATATTTCCTGTGTCCACTGCGACAACATGATACATTAGCACGGTGCGTTGTGTGAACATTTCTTCCAACTCATTTGTTATCTGTGTAGATGAATGGGTTTCTGTTGAGACCAGGCTCTGATGGACTAGAGTAGTAGTTCTCAAACTGTGGTACGCGTACCACCAGTGGTACGTGAGCGCTCTCTAGTGGTAGGCGGGGAAAATTCATGCACCATGCACAATTAATACAACATTTAGTTGTAGAGTGTGGACAACAGCTCAATAAACAGGCCTCATATCAGCAACACTATGGAAGACATTCTCCAGAATTCTATAAGGAAGGAATTCTTTGGTGGAAACGAAGGATATGTGAGAAAAAAATTGGACGTAAGATTTCAGTGGCAAAAAAAAAAAAAAAAAGACTTTGTTTAGACTTCAGGAAAAAAAATGCTCCTGCTCATATAAAATACAATTATATGAAAATGTTTTTATTGTCATCAGCTGCAGTTTAATGGATTATTAAATATAGTAAATCATATTAAGCTACATTATTATTAAAACTGGCCATTGCAGAAAACAAAATATTTAAAAAAAATAAAACCAATAAAACATAATTCTCAAGATCCTACAATTACTGCCAAGAGAATGAATGAGCTCTGTGTGGAATTAAATGCTGAACAAATACATCCTTCCTGGGAATGGGCTGCATTTCCATTCCACCTATTCCTTACTCTTGTAGATGAAGAATCGTGAACGCCTCGGCCAAATGAAAACATGAAGAATGGAGCGTAAAAGCACTTGTTGGGATGACTTTATTTTACTAAAAATTGAATCAGTGAATATTATCCCTGTTTTTTTTTTTTTTTTTCATTTTCTCTCCTTTCCACTTTATTTTACTAAAAATTGAATCAGTAAATATTATCCCTGTTTTTTTTCTTCCATTTTCTCTCCTTTCTGTAGGCGTTCTGTGAAACGCTAGAGGAGAGCAACTACCGTCTTCAGAAAGAGCTGATGGAAAAACAAAGGGAAATTGACGCTCTCAAGAGGAGGCTGCAGGAACGGGAGCAGGCCATTCTTCTCCTGGAGAAACACATCAGGTTAACATGTACAAACACATGTAGTCTATGAATACAACGCAGTGAAACGGAGGGCCACGTCGCTCCGGGTTCACACCGTGTGCCGCATCACACGGCGGAAACCGATGGTTGACAGTTCAGGCCAAACACAACACTGAGCTACCAAAATAACACTGAGTTATTGTTTAAGTCGATGCGTACCATCTGGTGTTGTGCCTCTCTCTGTCCTAGTGGAGTGTGCGTGAGCCCGGAGTCTCCGAGTGCACTCTCAGCTCAGGGCAGCGAGAGCAGCGCGGATGCAGATGTGGAGTCGTCTGCTGCAGAGGCCGACCAGGATTTGCCCGACGACACTGGGTAAGAAATGCCTACACACAAACACACGTGGAAACGATCCAACTAACTAAGAAAAAAAAAGAAAAAAAGAAATCTGAATAAATACATATAAATGAGGTCAAATGACGACCTTTAACTGCTGCACAGGAAGAACACCTTAAAAACAGAGAATTAAATACTCCACCACTAGTGGCAGCAGATGGCAATTACACTAAAAAAAGACACTAAACAGGTCCAGTTTACCACTGAGTAATTAAATTGTCCTGTTAAGTCGAACAAAAACGCTGATGAAATCTAAATAAATATGAATAATATTATTAAAATATTATATAAAATGTCTTCTTACATTTCATTAAACGAATTGAATTTAACCAAAAGGCTCAAAAATATACAAATTTAAAAGCATGTTGTTGTTTTTTTTTTTTTAAACTAAAGCTTGTTATACACTACTGTTTTTCATTTAGGGTGAACTAACATTTTTGTTGTTAATGTTTTTTGTCGTAAATTAGATTTTATTTTATCTCTTCAACTGACGCCGCGGATGACG